TTCTTCTTCTGGAATATCTCCAGGAAGAACGGAGCAATATCGACGACATAGTTCAGCACCTGAATTTGACTTAACCACGAAAATGGACCCGCAGGGCAACCATGTATAAATATTAGTGCGCATGCCCAGCATTTCGTCGCTTATTTTTGCTTTGGCACCACAGCGCCACTTACAGGCCTGGCATACATTTTGCAGCGTTTTCATGCATTCGTGTGGACGCTCACATTTCTTTTACGTCTCCGTCTTTACGGCAAACGTTTTGGAAAATATCAGCGTTTCGTGTTCGTTTTGACTTCGTGTGGACGGGGCCTGTGTTTATCTCAGTGACATTATCTACTCTCAGGATCTAGAGTCTGACAAAAAGCATGTCAGATCTGTTTTCTCTGCCTTCTTCAGAATAAGCTTTTTGTGAAAGCAGAAAAAAAATTTGATTTAATTTGTGTATAAACGCAGAAAATTTACGGTGGCTGGTAGTGAATGTGGATTTGGCAGCTGGAGCTAATTCCTAAACCTAAAGTCAAGGTTTATAGTCAAGTCTGCGGTGAAATACATGTAACCAGGTCATAGATCTTCTGTGTTTCTCTCTCTTTTTGCACTGATTTCCTGCTGCTCCTGAATTCCGTCTCGCTTTCCCTCTGTTGTCCGGGTATACAAATAAACTAATGATAATGCTGGTCTGAAAGTTAATAGCATTGTTAAATGTAAAGAACTGTGCAGATTGAAGTAAGGTGTGCAGGGATGATTCTAGGATAACAAGTTTAAGGGTACTGAGCACCCAGGGGCACTGTGTTGGGGGAAAAATTAGGACGATTCTAAGGGCCCTTGACTGAGGGAGGGGTCAAAAAAGAAGAAGAGAAGATTTGTCTCACTGCATTTTTCAAATATAAAAACAAAATCCAGAAGGAAAATAAATAATCTTCATATTCTCCCTCATTTTTCAGCAGTAAACTGTGAAACAAAGCATGTACATATTGAGACCACCCCTACTGTGAAATTGCAAGAAATTGTTTGGTCCTCAGGTCCTGAATTGCATCAGGTGTCCATTCTATCATCGGCTGTTTGCAAACAAATCAAGAAAATGTGTAAATAAGCAGCAGTGTGGTAGAAATGTCCAAGGCTGAAAAATGCAGGGCCCCAAACACTGGGTTTAAAAAAGTAAGGAAGGAAGGAAGGAGAGAGAGAGAATGCATCCAATACCATGACCCAGGTTCACTTAGTTCCCCCTTAGTTCCCCTCTTACTCAGTGTCAGTCACATCATTAATGAGTTGGAACTAGAACCGTTTTAACTGGTTCGGACCAGTAGTCTAAATTCAAAGGCAGATTTTGAGATCCTTTGTTGGCTAGTCTGCTGCTCTGTGTGTCACGTCTTGGTTGTAGTTAAGAGGACCCAAATGCAGAGGCAGAGAGGCTGAGGTGAATTCTTCTAGTTTTAATGAAAATAGTTAACAAAGGCAGTATCCCCCACTTAAGGGCGGATCCTAGCCTGGGTGCCAGTCCGAACTTAGTCCCGCCCACAA